GTCCTTAACACAGTAGCTGACACATAGGAAAATGTATAATATATGTTTACCCCGATTATTATTTTTATTGCATCTTTGAAGACAAAAGATATGCTTTGGAGGTCAGAGGCATGCTGGGAAGCAGGGTTATCTGGTATTCCCCATCCTGTTGAATCACGGGTAGATGGCTAGGATTTCGTATACACCAAAGAAAGTGCAAACCAGAGGAAAAGAGTCTCCAGAGGTATTTCAATGGCAATGACCCTTTGGAATCAAATTATTAAAACATTTTTTTGTTTTAATTTTCTTAAAAATTAAAACAAAAATTTTTTTTCAGGGCACCTCTGAGTGGATTCAAACCACCAACCTTTTGGTGAATAGCCCAGCACTCAATCATTCGCACCACCAAAGGTACCAGGTATTTAGTAAAATACTAAAATAGCATGAATTTGTATACCATCCACTTAATGGGCTCCTGCCAGCCACTGTTCAACACACGAGAGGAAGGCCTTGGGGAAATGGATTGACAGGTGGGCTGCAATCTCTGGAAGAACCCTCATGTGGACGGCGCAGGACTGGGCGGAGCTTCGTTGCGTTTCACATAGGGTTGCTGCGAGTTGGAACCAGAACTGACTGGATGGCCCCTCCTAACACCTACCTCTGTTCAAATGCGGCCTAGGATGGGTGTCGGACCGCCTACAGAAGCGGGAGTGTTAGGAGTGACAGCCTTAAGAAAGAGGGGCTTCACACCGCGTCAAGTCCTTTTTTCTGTTTCTTTACACAGTGTAAGGTTCATAATCGGTACCGTTTTCTTTTAGTGCTATTTGGGGGCACCTGTAAAATATTGTTTTTCATGAACTTCACAAAAATGTGACTCTGTTTTCCAGACTACACCTTGTTTTTCCTGGGGGTCAGGGGGAGAGGGCATCTACTTAGCTCATGAGGGCAGGGTTTGCCTCAGAGGGTGGGAACTGCTTGGCCTACACTTTTGGGGTCATGTAGGTGTTTAAAAGGAGACCAAATAAGCTGGCCGCACATCATAAAGGAATCCACTTCGTCTGAATTCGGTTGAGCGTACCTGGTTTTGTTTGGATTTACTCCCAAGTAGTCTGCTTTGACTTTACCATTTGCCTCCCGACAAGCCCCTGCATGTGGTGATGACAAGATTGGGGCGCCAGCCCATGGCTGCCCTGGGCAAACGAGAAGCAAAAGAACGAGAAGCATTCGCTCCAGCCTGCCAGGCTGGGGGTGTTTTCGGTCCCTTGGATGTCTAAGTGGTAGGTGACCTAAGCATTTGTGGCAACACAAATGGGAATGGGTGGAGGCAGACAGCGCCAAACACAAGCCTTGTGCTCTGGACTGGATCCTGCCGTGGCAAGATGACAACCGATTCCCCACGCACCAACAGCCCAGACTTCTCCAGACGTCCATCAAACAACTACCCAGAGAGTCCTTTGAGGCGCTAATGACACATGTTCTGAATGATTTATCAAGTCCCGCAGACCTGCCCGGTCTCGGAGCGGGATGTGCCTGCGGGATCCCCACTCCTTTTCTCACCGGCGCCGAGTTTCAGCTAAGGGGTGTAGTCTGGAGTTTCATCTTCTTTTCTCGGTTGCCTAACAGGTGGTGAGGAAGGCACGGGAGCACCGACAGGGTGTCAACTCCCGTACGCAGGGCTGGATGCCGAGGGTGCTACGACGACCATGACTAATCTAGACCAAGTTGGACAGAGGTCGCCTTCTACACCGAAGACCAGGGTGTGGGATCCCTCTGACACACACACTGGGAGGCCTTTCTTACCGGCTTTGCTCAAGTTCATGACTGAAACAGAGGGAAAGCCGTTTCTGCTTCTAATTTCTACGTGTTCATCTACCTTGTCAAGCCAAAATCAGGCAACAGGGACGATGAACAGTGACGTCCAGGAGGTCAGAAACATTAAGTCCACAAGCTTAAGAGCAGGTTCCAGAGCCAGACTGCGTGGGTTCAAATCCTAGCACCCCTTCGTCGTTGTCATTTCGGTCAAGTTACTTTCTTTCTCTGTGGATTATGTTATGATTACTTTGCCTGTGAAATGAGTCACACTGCCAAAGACACACCAAGAGAGAAGCTTTGTTTTGTCTTTTGTTCTCTGACGGGGGTTTGGCTTTTGTTAAACACGGTCGTTCACTTTCTTTTGGACATTGTTTGAAAGCCTTTTAGATTTAAATCTGAGACATTTATCACACGGCTTCCTCAGTGTTTTTTCTTTTAAATGTAAAATCAGATAGTATCAAGCATATGGTTTCAGATCAAAAATAAGTATTCTTATTATTTTCGTTAGCCAATTTTAGTTTTTAGTTCGATAAATAGGTGTAAGAACAATAATAATAAAAGCATGAAAAGACCTGAAATCCAACCTGTCCTTTCAGTCATTACCTCTCTGCCACAGGGGGG